GATTAGTTCCCACGGAAAAAGATGTACAAACAGCTTTACACGGTCGTCCACTAACTCAAACTGCGTTCACATATGTACTCAAAAGTCATGAAAATAAGCAGCTTTAGTCTTCAATTTATGAAGTTTCACTACAATAAATTATGTTAAGTGCGTGCATGGCTGGTTCATCTTCTCCAAATTAATGGGAATGCATAACCCTTCTTCAATGATTTTTCCCTCTTTGTTTTTGTTCGTTTCTTGTATTCTTATAAGCATCAATCGACACAACAGGGAACTTCACAACTAATAGTATTTCTGAGAAGAATTGGAACCTGATGATTCTCTCATCTCCTGCTTCTAATGTAACTCTTCATGAAGGGTTGTTTTACACTGCAATTGTCGGCCAAGAGCCTGACAAAGTTTATGCTCTTGTTCTTTGTAGAGGAGATTCTTCTTCACAACAATGTGTCAATTGTGGCAGTTTTGCAACCCAAGGTCTTATGAAAGTTTATCCAAACCAGAAAGACAACCACATGCAGGGACGGAGCCAGAATTTTAATATTGGGGTGGCCAAAATTTTTTTAAGTTTTCATGAACATAAATATATGAATTCTTTTTTTCCAAAAGAAAAATGCTTTACAAAATTTAAAATCCAACTCACAATTTACATTAATATATGGTATTTTTTTTTTTTTTTGTAAATAAACTTAATTAAGATATAAGTTCTAAATGTTAAAGAAAGCAAGTATATGGAGAAAAAAAAAAAGGGTTTATTGTTATGCAAGGGAAAAATAAAAAGGAGATAAAATAATAAAATAATCTATATAAAAAATGCTCGTCATATAAAACTTTTATAATAGGATTTTTTTTTTTTTCTGAAATATAGGATAATAAGAGTTAAAAAAGGGTAGATAATCACAAACTTTTTCACCAATAATAATCCTATATAAAGAGTGATCATCATATGAAAACTCATATTTTGGAGTGCCCATACAAGAAAAAAATCATGTTTTAAATGGGGTAATTATACTTTTACAATCATTTTATGGGAAGCCATGGCCACCCTAGGCCTGCATGTGGCTCCGCCACTGGCGGAGACAGTCCTCAATGCATTGCTCGCTTTGCAATATTTTTGGAAAAATGGAGACGGATCCAATGAATGCAGGCGCTTCTGAGAATAAAATCACAGTTAACATGTTTGAGTTTAATTAGACTTGGGAGTGTTTGATGGACGGGCTGATGAGATAAGCTTCGAGTGAAGCAAATGATTCTAGTAGTAAGTTTGCAACAGGAGAAGCAAGTTTGACATATTTTATGAAGATATATGCACTGATTTAATGTACTCCAGATATTTCAGACAGTTATTGTGACTATTGTCTTCGTCAATCTGTGGCTTATTGTGAGGATCAGTTCAATGGGAAGCCATGAGGTTGTCTTGTTATGAAAAGAAGTTGTATTTATAATGGGGTTTGAATCCTTTCTATGAAGCCGTTCCAGCTGACGCTCCAGTTTCATCTCCTCCTCAGCAGTCAAGTAATTCTGCGAAAATCATAAAAGGTATGACATACAGCTTGAAAATTCTCAAGTGTAGATGCTTTTAGCTAGCATGCCACCAATTATCTATTAAGCCTCCATGGAGAAGATGTAAAGATAAAGAAAACATATACACAACATTAGCTTCTATGTATCTCTCTATATGTATATCTATGTTCTGAAACCCGGCCCAGCCTGATCGGTTTAACAGGTTGGACCGAGACTTGGGGCCTTCTCTATGCCGAGTTACCATTTTCCACTATTTCAACTCAATACACGAGTCATAGACGGCAAACAGGGGGCTACCAAGTGTTGGGGTTAAAGGAGTTTTATAAAGTAGAGACCGGTGGTTCAGATGGTGTCGTGGTGGTGTCAAATTGAATTTTGGATGCTGAAATTAGTCGAAATTTGGCCGGAAATTCAACCCAATCACGACGGTATAGCCAGCAAACGAGTGGCTACCAAGTGCCAAGATTAGAGGGGATTTGTAGAGTGGAGGTTGGTGGTTCAAGTGGTGGTATCTAATTGAATTTTGAACATCAGAATTAGCCAGACTTTGGTCAGAAATACCAATCCAATCGCGACAGTAGATGTGAGTCACGACTGGCGAATGGGGGGTTACCAAGTGTCGAGGTTAGAGGAGTTTTGTAGAGTGGAGGCTAGTGGTTTAGGTGGCGGTGTCAGATTGAATGTTGTCCACCAGAATCAACCAGAATTTGACCGGACACAGGGGTGTCTAAATCTCGACCCTTAAATTTCGGGGATGGGAATGCATTCCAAATTTCATCTTGTGTCTGGGGGCAAGGTCGGAGAAACCACTACCCATACCCATACTTGGAAATTGCCAACCCTAGTTAAATGGGCTTTGGTTACTAACATTAGATGAAATGAAAGGGAAATGGTCTTTTCATTACACCCAACTAGTTTTATTAATACTTTCATTTCTTATGTCGAGTAAGGATTCACGACAATTTCCTCCACAAGGTTTGAAGAGGGTAAAACACACCCAAGGGTTTCGGATAGTAACAAATGCACCCAAAGGTCTATTGGCTATATTTTCTCTCATGCTTACCAGGCACTAGCTACTCTTTATCCCTCCTGATACTATCAAAACCTGGATTTTATATCAACTCCAACACAGAATTGGTTCATTAAGAACTGCGTTTGTTGGATCAATCTAAAAATTATGTTATTTATCACTGAATGATGCCTCAATCATTGAATTAGGCCCTCGATAATACCTTAGGACTGATTGGTTTGAGTTGTTAGAATTTCAGGATGTGGGTCATAATTGATTACATAATTTTATTCGCAAAAAAACGAGTTGATTAGTTAGAAACTCATTTTAGAGGAGTGGAGATATTAATTAAACTTAATAATATAATTGTAAATAAACTTATAATAAATAATATATTGGGTATAAGTTATACAAAAATATGAATACTTATTTATAATATTCTGTATAATTAATATATTTATGTGTTTGACGATATGAAATAAATTTATAATATTTTAACGAGTGTAAAATAAAACCAAAAAAAATTACTAATGAACAAGTTATTAAGCTCATACATATAACAACACCTCCAAATTAAATTACAATAAAATTTCTACTAATAAAATATTCAAAAATTTATCTAGTTTTTATGGTAAAACATTATAACTTTTTATAGTAATTTCACTTTTATGTTTCGACCCCTTAAAAAAATGCATCAAAATACATATTTTTTATATTTATCTTTTTTTCCTAACTTCAATATTTTGATATAATCCATCTGTGAGTAATTTATACGGTTAAAACGAATTGAAGATAGTGTGGATAGGCACCTGGTCTCAGGTTCAATTCTTCATTTGAGTATCCGCAATTTAAGTAAGGGGTCGTAGCGGTGAGTTCTAAGTTAGCCCTTATATATATATATATATACAAGTATTGAAACATAAAACAATTGACAATAGTTTAATTTGACAAACAAATTTTAAAAATGATATTTATTTTATAAAATATATATATACAAACTTTCTTTATTTTGTTCTTTGTAAAATTAAATAATATATATATATATATATATATAAAATTTATGCTAGACGTTTTCATTCCCATAAATTATGAAAAATTGTTTGACATTATTTACATCTCAACATTTTACTATGTCCACTTCTTTTTTCAAGGAAGAGACCAAAAAAAAAAAAAAACTGTTTTTTCTTTTCAAAATAATATACTTTGTTTTTATTAATCTTCTACGGATAATTTCTTTTAATTCGATTTATATCATATTCTAATGCACTTCTTTATGTAAACCAAATTGAGATCCATTTTGGTTATGTTTGTTATCAAACGTGCATTCAAATAGTATGTACATAACTTAAAAGAATATATATCATTTTCAAACAAATATGTCGAATACATTTTCATTTGTACATTTTCAAAATATTATTTTTCAGATAAACATGTTGAACATATTTTTATTTTTAATATATTAAAATCCTTTTTAATATTTTCAATAATTTCATAAAACAAAAAATGAATTCATTGAAACAAAAAAAAAAAAAAAAAAACACACACACACACACACCCCCTTGTAAATTAACTAATGTGTGCTTAGAAGTTTAATTTGTTATAGTGAACATAATCTTATTATACATGATGGACTCCAAACCCATTCTTAATTTGTTGTCATATATTAGCAGGGGCGGATCCAAAGTGTATTAAGCCCACCCTCAATTTTAAAAAAATAAAAATTAAATACATTTTTTCATTTAGTTTGACTTTGGCCCACCCTTAATTTTTATTGTCAAATATTAAAAAATTGTGGCCCACTCTCAATTTTAGAACTAAAAATTTTTGTTTGGCCCACCCTAATAAAGATTTCTGGATCCGTCCCTGTATATTAGTGTAGGTCAAGTTTATAGGTTTTATGATGGGTGGATTCCATAAAGTGTAATTGTTTCTAAAACACAAAGGAATTTTCATTTAAATAAGAGTTTTAATATAATCAGTCTCTCTCCCATCTTCTTATTTATACCATCACCGCCTATGCAGTATTTTATAGTTCTTAGAAATAGGCAGAGGGAGACCTTAACTTTACAGTAATGCAAGGTCTACAATCCAATCTCACAACATTCTCTCATAACCCTCGTCCCCTGACATGACAGCTCGTAATTCGTCAGCTAGCAAATGACTCTCACCTGCTTGCTATGGGTCCCCGCTTGCCCATTTAAGAGCTGACGAATCGTGAGCTTGCACATCCCTTTTTAATTATTTTATGTCACATAAATATTGGTAAATACTTTAACTTTATTAAAACATGGTGGGCGTTATTGTTATTTAACTAAAGTTTAAGGGGGCTATTACTTAGCCTTTTCACTTATAGGAGAATTGAGTTGGGCCCAGTATAGAGCCCAGCCCAAGCGAATTGCAATAGTAAAGCAAACCCTAGACAATAGACGGAAGTTATGGTGTATAATTCAGGTTGAGATATAAATACAAACTAAAACGAAGAAGACGAAATGAAGGCAGAGTGAAGACTGAAGAGTAAAGAAGAAAAGTCGAAGAAAGATGCCGGCCGGACATGGGGTACGAGCAAGGACAAGAGATCTCTTCGCTCGGCCCTTCAGGAAGAAGGGATACATAGCCTTATCAACGTATTTGAAAACCTACAAGATCGGAGACTACGTGGACGTCAAGGTGAATGGTGCAGTGCACAAGGGCATGCCCCATAAGTTCTACCATGGCCGCACTGGTCACGTCTGGAATGTCACCAAGCGTTCTATTGGTGTCGAAGTCAACAAACAGGTCTCTTTCTTTAAGCTCAGATCTCATGTTTACAAAATGGCAAATGGGATGATAAATTGTAGTGATTTAGGTAAAGGGGTTTAAATTTTTAGCTGATTGATTGGAAGTAGTTTAATGGTTTCTTTTGGTCATGGGGAAGGAGGGTGAAGCCAGACTTGTCGGGGAGCTTTGTGAGAAAACCAGAATATTGGGGTCCAAAGCGTATAAAAAATTGAAATGTTTGTTTGAATTTGGGGTGGTTCAGCATTTTTTCTGTTGAGGCTGCTGGCTTAGTAAAGTTAATGTTCAGTAATGAACCAATAGCAATTCTTGCTCAAATTGGAAAAAAAAAAATAGTAATTAAAAATGGGGTTTTTTGGTTGATTGTTTGTAGTTAGTTTCTTACTAGAATTTGGGTGGGTTGAATTTGTTAACTAATCATTTACACCAAATATTTCACATAAGTTTATGCTATAATGTTATTGACGTATGTTAGCTTTTGTGGTATCTGTTAAATATTTTGGTGTTTTGATAGCATATTAGGTGAAAACTACACTTTACATTTTTAGATTTTAAGTTGTTAAAGAGGGTTTTAGTTGATTTTTCAGGGTTAGTTTATTGATACTACTAGGGTCAATTAGTTAATGTATGCTTTAAAGAAGTGACTGATTTTATCCGAAATAGTTTTGATGTATTTTAGATGATTCTATATGCCTCAAACTGAGACTGTGGTTTGTTGGTTGTATTGATAGTAATGATGGATCCTAATGCTATAAATCATACAGTTTTTCTGTGCTATGTAAGTGAGGTGTGTGGACTCTTTTTGGATATTTGTGTTAATTGTAGGTTGGGAATAGAATTATAAGGAAGAGGATTCATGTGCGGGTGGAGCATGTGCAACCTTCAAGATGTAAGGAGGAGTTCAAGTTGAGGAAAATCCGTAATGATGAGTTGAAGGCAGAGGCGAAAGCTGGAGGTGAGAAGATCAGTACAAAGAGACAACCTCAAGGACCTAAGCCTGGTTTCATGGTGGAAGGTGCTACCCTTGAGACAGTTACTCCTATTCCATACGATGTCGTTAATGATCTCAAGGGTGGTTACTAGTTTATTTTGTTGCTGGAAAGTATCTCTAGGTGAAGGCTTTTCATTTCTTTTCGACTTTGTCCAACAATTTTCGTTGTCTAATCATGTTTGTGGTGCAATTCTTTAATGACGTGACCAAAATAGTTTCAAATTTGAGTAAACATTTGGTAATTTAATCAATTCTTTTAGATTATGGTGATGCTTTTGCTTGCTATGGTCTTTGAGAATCATCGTGTAAATTACAACTTGTTTGGCATTCATAGGTTTCTTATGGGTTTGAATTTTGAGAATATGCTTTTGCTGCTCCATTAGTTGGGATCAATGTTTTAATAACCATCGCGAGGTGAAACCCAACAAAGTTGTCGAGTCTCGGGTTGATTGGTTAAATTGGTTTGACCGGCCAATCAAATCGAATTACAACTTCTAAAATTTAGCAAATACATTTTTGAAAATTGTAGTTAAGTCACTATAGGTTTAAAATTTAGCAAATACACTCCAAATACAAAACGGTCAATGATTGGTAAGTGACAACGACACTCCAAATGCAATCTTAATCGTCCCTTGAGCTCATTCCTCAGAAAATCTATCGAAGATCTAGTCGTCATCAATTTTTTCGATTTTTGATCGATTCACTCGTCAAAAATCAACTCCATCACCACCATTGCACTCACCAGCACTTTTTCTTCAAAAGCTTCAACATTCGTTCGTCGATCATCATACCAAATTCTAGGGTTTTGGGTGAATAGGGAAAATATCAACCTGACCTAGTGAAGCGCTCAGGTCTCGGTTAAACCGATCAATGGTTGGAATGCAAATTATGAATGTTTTAACTTCGTGAATCCGAGGTTACTCGTAGCATACTATGTAGCTATGTTTCTTACAGAAAGCTATGAGTTTCTTAGTTATTTGATTTAATGGCACATATGATAAATTTAACACCTATAAAAAGACCAAATGTAATTAAACGTTCATGTATTGAGCATTTTCTGAAAGTTTTCAAGTTCATTTGAACCCATAGCATGATTCAATATTGATCAACAAATTATTTGCATTATATAGAACGAAACGGTTGGAATGCCTTCCTATATATTTATATTGATAACTAAGCAAATAAGGGAAGAATGAAAGATGCTATTTGTTTTTCACCTTCTACCTTATAAAATCGTTGATATGAATATTTCATTAATTATATAGTTTTATCCATAAATATTAATTAATCGAAGAGTATATAATGTATAGCATAATATTATGAGTCAATAAAACATTGTGTAGTTATCCTATATTCTGAATTATTTGTTATTCTACATGATACGTGAGAGAGATAAACAGATTTTCGTGAATAAGTTGGCCTCCAACTTTTACTATACAAAAGGACCTGACCCCTCTGTGCTATGTTTTCACCATGTTGTGTGGTGGTTTTGCCAATCGAATACGTTCAATCTTTCCCTAATTTATAATCCTCCAACCTCTGTGCCATCCCCTCATTTTTTCCCGATCCCAATTAATCTTAGCTGACACACATAAAAGCAAACGTCCATTAAACTGCAATATTGTAAGTTCGAATATATAACTTTTCAATGTGAACCAAAAATCTGGTAGGTAAAATCCAGATCCGCTCATGTATATAAGAGTTAACTCTTGCATGAATGAATCGAAAGAAGTTCACAAAATAAGGACATTCACGAGAGAAGTACTAACTTACTATGTTATTTTCCGGCCGCTTCCAATAAAATCCTTGCAGAATTACTGGGAGGAGATTGCAGGCTATGAGTATGTAAATCAGCAGTGCATGTAATCCCATCCACTCCAACACCGAAGTTATGCGCCTATAACCAGACACATCAACCTGAGGGAAAAGCCCACAAGATAAGCAAAATAAGTAAAATGGCCTAAACAAAAATTAATAACAAAATTCGATGGTTTCTACAACTGGAGATGAATAGAAATCTAACCATGAAGTAAATTGCTGCAAATAGAATGCCAGCAGCTCCAGCAGTAACACAGACATAACTGAATGTGTATAGAGGTTTGTTTATATGCATTCCTGCAGAAAAAAAGTAGATAAAATTATATTGTCAAACTATTATTACCACTAACTTCAACTCTTTCAAATACGTTTCTAAGAAAAAATAAGGAAATTTTTATCAATCCCCCTAGAGATCAGCCTTTTCATTGACACTCGATGTAACTTTCTGAAATATTGGACCTCAATGAAAAAGGTTGATATTTCAAGGTTGTCGGAATTCATTTCCCTAGAAAAGCACGAAGAAAGTACTTACCAAAGAGGTCCAAGGCAAGGCCTAAGACTGCAAGAGAAGAAGACAGGATTACAAAGTTACGCATTCTATCTCTGTGATCCTGCACATGGCAAGGTGTGAAAAAACTCAACATGAAGATAAAGCTCCATGGAGAAAAAGAAAGAAAATTTATGGCATAGAAATATGAACATCACACCTTAAAATGGACGATGATGTGTCCGTAATGCAAACCAATCAAGCAGGTTACAACGGCCATCACTGAACTACAACCACAAAGTAGACAGGAAACTTGAAATTATAAAGCTAAAACACAAGAGGGAAAGTATATGCAATTGATTGATTCTGAGATCATCTTGTCAATCTACCTCCTCCTTTTAAGATATTGACATAAATAATCGATAACTAACTTACTCAAAAAAAAAAAAGAAAAAAAAAAAAATGGATAACTCCATAAAGGAAAGATATATGACCATTTAACAAAAGAGATGGTATTTTCCCTCTGTCAATTAAGAGACCTTACAATTTACACTGCACATTATGCTTAAAAAGTGAATGGAAAACTACGAAGTAGCTGCAGACAAACCTCAGAAGAGCTTCAGGATCAAAAGGTGCTTGACACCATGAAGGTGCATCAAGAGGTAGTGGACCATAATCAGGGGAGTTGATACTGCATTGCTGTGAAGAATAAAAAAAGGGAAGAAAATTTTATGATTCACAAATCATGGAAACAAAGATGGTGAGAAACATAAACAATAAATTGAATGATACCTTTGTCCGTGAATAAATTGGTTTTTTATATAAATGTTGAACACCAAATATTTTTCGATCAACCATTCCAACAACATTACAAGCCGGTCCAGTGTCACCACGTACTCCACATTTTACCTTTCGATGGAAAAAAATAACACAGCCATTTAGGCACCAGTTCCTTAACAAAAATCTTACAGTAGAATTTTAGATCTTAAAAGCTTGTAAAATATTTAGGTTAAAAAGAAAGAAAGAAAGAAGGAAATTGAAGCTCACTGAAAATATCCTATGTGCTGAGGAAGAGGTTTCAACTGGATTCTCATACTGCCAATCAGGAACATACAAGCCGTACAACAAAGACAAATATATTGCAGTAAGCACCATAGATGTAGCCCTGTAAGATATGGAAAGAGAAGTGGCAGAATGCTTCAGTTAAAGCATAATCCAATACAATAAATGTTATTGTTCTTAATCACACTTACCACTGAAATCGATATTTCTTCCATAGAGATAATACTGAACTAACTCGGTCATTAGCCTTTAGCCAAATCTCACATAATGCGGCTACAAGATATGCTATTGCAATTCTCTACAAGGGAAAGAAAGTTAGTGTCATTTTTTACATTGTGTAACACATTGGCAACAAATATTTACACAGTCAATCTGGCTATAAATTCTGCAGAGGAAAACATCAAGTCACAGTTCAGCAGTCATCTCTACTGTCAAGTTAACATCAAAGTACAAACCATAAGCCAATTAACCACTTTCATTATGCAAACGACTTATTAAACTATCAGAAATCCATACCTGCAGAATTCCCATCCATCTTATTTTCGCAATATCCACTCCATAAACTAGATCATTGATCCCATGGAAAAAGCCTCCTGGATAGTAGAAAAAGATAATAGAGATTTAGAACAGAGTGCAAGCATACGAAAGTATGCATGTCAATTCCACAAAACATGGTTTCGCTCAACAGAATCCTTATGATATATTATCATTGTGAAAGGAAAGAACACTTAGCTATATGCAATATAAATGGTCTAGTAGTAAAAGATCAAGTAGATCACCTTGAAGAAAAAGGCCTATTACAAAAAGCTTCAATGCCCGTAATACTGCTTTTCTAGTTGCAACAGTGCTGAATGACAAGTTCTGAATATGAAAAACATATTGTTAGCTTTAAGAGATTATCAATGTCGATTGTAGTACTAATAGAAATAGCAAATGACCAATGACATTGTTATCATATTCTATACCATACACTAAAAGGTTTTATCATAGCTTTCTGTGTTTCCTCAGCAGTAATGCAGGAAAATTTGGCAAGCAAACCAGAACTAAAGCAACTGAACCCAATTGACACCATAGCACACCCTAAAGAAATTCCTAGGCGAAGAGATACCTTGTACGTAAGCCCCAAAGAAACACCAACAATAAAGAGAAAAAATGGCATGACAAAATCTGCAAGGGTCAAACCATTCCAAGGTGAATGATTAATTGCAGGCAGAATTCCACCAGCATCGTCAACAAGAATCATAAGCTGCATCAAGAATGAAAAGATATGTAAAGAGAGAAAATTAACATTTATATAGCAGTGTCTTACAATAGATTAATAATGTAATCTAAACAAAATCTTAATGTTCATATAATAATGAAACATGGTGCTAAGGTCATTTCATTCCTGATGAACCAAAAAGTCATTTTATACAAATAAACAATGCAAGAAGGATCCAACCAACTTCAGAGCAGACAAGAAAACAAAAAGCTCCAAAGCAACACTTTTTCAGAGATTAGCAGACATCATTAGACACCGTGTTCAACCACAATAGCTAAATGTCAGCTTCAAAGAAGCAGAATTTCACTAATTTAAATTCCTATAATGTTATAACAACAAACTTAAAACAACTAGTGACAATAATGCTTCATGTTATTCCTTTTTTGTGAAACTCAGAGGTTTTCAAAAGTCTAATTAAACCATAATCAGCAGTGCGCAACTATTAATTTGTTAAACATCAAACGTAAACTTTATGTTAATTTTTACAAAACATCTATTAATTTGTTACTCAAACTTTTAATGTTTTCAAATAATGTCAATAAAAAAGTGATATAATAGAATTACAGTATTGTTCAGACAGTGGTTTGATTAGAAAATGGTAAATAGATTTTATTTATTATTTGTAGCAATAGAAAGTTAATGACAATGTCAGATATTTTTATACAATTGATCAGTGCACTCTCTATTAGGTAGGTGGATGCAGACAAATCCATCTCTCTTAATTTTCTTAATTATTGACATAAAAATTTAAATCCTAGCTGTCAATATTTAATTTAATACCACATCAGAATTTAGAAAGCGATCTGATTAGGCCATTGGCCGTCCCTAACCCATGTCTCTTATTCTCCAAGAAAAGGATGGTCTTAATGTGTCCCCTAAGGCCTCACGGCACATATTAAGACCCCTAGAAAAACAAAATGATAGCGAGGTGAACATCTACAGTTTCAAAATGAAGATAAATATCTACGACAAGTCAAATGAAATGTCATTTTACTCAGAAATTTCAATGCCAAACTCAAATGGTAACTATCTATAAACATGTTTGTATTTTTAAGGAAAAGATAATATAGATATATATTATAATCGGGTTAACCCGGATAATCCAGAGGATACGCTTCCAGGCAACTTTACCCCAGAACGGTAGGTGGATCCAAAATTTAATAAGGGTTTAAATGGGAGGGGCCGGTACATGATACATGTCAGTAACCACTATCAATGCTTTGTAATGAATTCAACCAGAAAAAAAGATGATGTATCATAATAAATAAAGGCATTACCATCACATTCACAGGCAAATGCATGCCATATACAATATTAAATAATTAAATATCCTTTGCTTGGAAAGGCAGCCAAATTGATAAAAAGGGAAATCTAACGTCTGATTGCTTGCTGGTAATAAAAAAATGCAGATAATATAAAGGTTAACCGGACTGATCCTGAAACAAATCTGAATATGAAAGAACATAATGATGATGATAAGATTACCGCAACGGTGAGGCCGCGGAAGACGTCGAGAGAAGCAAGGCGGGGTTGTCGTGGAGGTGAGTGTTGGTGATGAGAGAGCTTGGAGTTTGATGAAGGAAGAATCAAAGGATCTTGTTCGTCATTGGGTTTGAGAGAAGGGGAAGATTTAGAAATCTGGATGACCATCTCAGAGTCTTGATGGTTGTTATTATCATTGTTGAGCATCTTCTTCCCCATGGGGTGAGATATGAAGGAGGAGAGTGAATGAATTTTATTTATAGAATGGTGCAATTTACGTATACAAATACAAGTATGTTTGGATTGATAGGATAGGACTGCCCATCCTTCCGTTATTAACCTCCAATTATTACGCTCCATTTTCTAACTTCCCCTTCGCGCCGTTTCATTTTATCTTATCTTTTAGGCTATTTCAAACCTACTCAAAAACACCTACTTATCATTCATAATGATTTTTAAAAATTAAAATACTATCCATTTTTTGATAATTGTATTATAAAACAATTTTCGAAATATTTTTGTGCAAAGAAAAACAGAAACTTAGGTATGATAATCGACTAAATGAATTAAAGAAACAAAATAAATAAAGAGGTAAATTTATATCAAATAATAAATAGAGTTGTTAAGATAAACGCATGGCCTGGAACGGTGCGGCTTCTATTCTCCTTCTTTCTTTTATGGCATCTAATTCTCTAATGCCGGTGGGGGGTTAAGATAACCTTGCGTAAAAGAGGAAAAAGATAAGAAAAGAATTTCTATCAGCTTCTTTTAGACATTATTATTATTATAAGACAAGCATTCCCTAAATCTTTAATAAGATTAAAGATTTTATCCCAACAGTAGAATAAAACTAACTATTTCCACTTGCAGAATGACTCAAAACTAGGTCAAAATTAAGTAAATAATAATCTGATTATTCTACTCGTTCTATGACCGGCATCTGCGGCAATTAAATCTGATTTCAATGCCATCCAAAATATCTAGTGGCATTCTCAATCAGGATGTCATTGTCTTTTAGTTGAAATAATCTTACACAAAATCCTTTTCTAAAAACCATGTAACTAATTAAAACCCTCAACAATCACCACATAGAAGAGCAAATTAAATACACCAACAACTCCTATCAAAGGAAAAAAAAAGTAAGACTGCTACATTGCAGTGATCAAGAAGAAGACGACAGATTTTTCCTCTTACCATTCAAACCTGTAACAAGAACACAGAATTAGTAATAAGAGAGAACCAGCAAAAGAAAGAAACAAATGAAGAAAACACAGAAGGCACCAAACCACCACAACTAAATCGACAGAAATTCCTACCAAGTCATTAGACACATGTTTAACTTCAGGTTCTAATAAATAACAGTTGAAATTCGGTTTGGTTCAAAACTGAGTACCTGAACCGGTTGGGGGTTTGGCTGAACCAAACCGGAAAATCGGTTCAAGCTATAAAGGTACCCAATAACTGAACCGGTTTGGGGGTGACCCAGCTTTCAAGCAAACCGAATTTTCGATTTGGTTACGGGGTACCTGGTTTTTGGATGGAATTTCCTTCTTATACTAAAGCCAGTCTCTAAACTTCACAATCCAAAACATTACAGACTTCAACAACCAATCCACCTTGTTGATTAAACAAAACAATCAACCCCAAAAACAAAAAGCAAATTCCACAAACTCTAGATTACAACTTCCCCATGAAATTACCACTAACAAAAATACATAAAAAATCAAACCAAAACATCGATTGGGTAATTCAAAAAATTGACGAATGAAATTGAACCAAACCTCAGCACCTGTTTTAGCAGCAATCTCAACAACTTGAATGAGTTGGCTAGGAGGAATAGGTCCAGTGGATTTGGCACCAATTTTAGGATACTCTTTCTGATAAGAAGTCTCAGACAACACAGCCTTTGTACAAAGTTTTCTCCCCGGTTTTGTACTCAAAACTGAAACTTTTTGATAGCCAGATGAGGACTTGTCACTGGGTTTGAGAAATGGCCACTGGTTTGAGTGATTGAGAGGAAGAAATGATCTGGGTATGTGCGAAAATTTCAGAGGAATGTTTGAGAAGGAAATTAGAGACCTACCCATCTCAATTGGAAGCAAATGAAAGAGTTACTAATTCGAAACACAATTTTGTTTTCAATTTTTAGGCAAAAACTGGTTTGGTTCGGGTACCCCAGACTTTTGCGCAGTCAAACCAGTACCCAAACAGAAAATCCGGGTTTCTTTCTATCATAACCTGAACCGAATTTCCAAGTACGTGATTTTCCGGCTCGGGTTCCGGGTATTTTGATCACCCCTAGTTGAAAATTAAACACTTAGACAACCCAAGATTTAATTTTTCAGCAAACAGCACATGCATTAGAAAAAAGCAATGACTAAGATATTCTTCATTTCACAATAGGGACTTATAACAAAATACATGGATTCTTTTCCACTCAAATTCGTTGATTTTGGAATTCTCTAATTGTTCTTTCTTCTTCATTCAACTCTCCTTTTATAATATCTGATATCCCAGCAAAACATAATGGACACTACGGATGAAACTTTCCCTTGTCATACTCCTTTTTTAAGGTCATATTTACGATTATATACACAGAAACTTTCAGCAGTCATACTCATACTAGGAAGTGTAAAAATTAAGAAGTTAAGTTTGACAGGTCTGGGTTGCTTTCATAGTACATTGGTGCAGTCTTACGGAATCAGCTTAACAAATCCTGTTATTAAAACTTAAGAGAGATCAACGCGAAAACATCAAGCTATATAAGGCAAAAGCTAAGTAAGTTCAAATTCAGCTATTCTGAGACAAATTTTTTAAGTACCATAAAGAAATAAACTAATAAATTATTTCATATTACATAAATGTTGACTAACAATTAGAACATAAAGCAAAATGTGGGTAGACTTACAGCAGCTGCAAAATTTTTAACTAGTCATCCACGGAAAGTGTGTCTTCTCCTCCAACGACATCATTCTTGAGTTTGCCACAGACATTACACTCCATAACAGTCGAAGGAGAAACATCTGAAGGTGGCAAAGGAGCCAATGTCCCCCAACAATTGTCTCCATCACACATATATCTCATAAAAAAATACGCGTGCGGAAAATCATTCTCCCCATTTTCATTCTCAGCACCCGCCATTTCTTCATCCTCATCCTCCTCCATAGCCTCCTCCTCCTCTTTCTCATTCTCATTGTCAGACCAATTAGCTTCCACTTTGCAACGATCACAGTCACAAGCAAACCCATAGTCTTCAATTAATCTCTTCTGTCTAGTGGCATAATCGAAATTAACTGGAAAATAACTCAAGCAAATCTCCCTCCCTTGAGGCACATCATGAATCATCCTAACAATAATGTCAGCGTTATTCTCATTCTCCATCGCCGTGTCCACGTAATCAAATCTACAAGCATTCGGAAGGCAATCATGATTAAACAACGAAGCCTTCGGGTAAAGCCCATAAGCGCGAACCGATCTCTGGCCGCCATTGAAGGGCTCCATCAAGCCGAAGGCGTTTAGCCGGTCCTTGGCGAGCAAAGCCGCGGTGAGTTCAAGAGAGAAGGGGGTAGAATTAGGACGAGGAAGGCAAAGAGAAGAGATAAGAGAGTGGAGAAATTCGGCGGCTGAGGCGTCGTTAGCAGAGGGGATTCCTTGAAATGAAAGTAAAGTTTGGAACTTTGAAGGAGAAACGAGGGATAAATTGTAAGCGGCAATTAGAAAACACGATTGGAGCTGGCGTTCAAGCGGGTGGTTGAGGAAGAAGTGAGAGGAGTTACAGAGACGAGTGAGAGATTGGCAGACATAAGGCGAGTGCGTGGATGACGTGGCGGAAGAAAGACACGTGGCGGAGCAGAACAGAGCTGAACACGAAGAGCAATTGATTGAAGAAGAAGATTGTAAAGTTCTAAAGCAATGGTGGCAGTATGAAGAAGAAGAAGGGTTTTGTAAAGGAAAAGCGGAGTAGAGGAGAATGGGAGAATCTCTGAGGACAACTTGGCCGGCTTTTAATGGTTGAGTGGATACTAAACCCCTACCTCTACCGTCGATCTCCGCCACACTGAGAAGGCCTTCGGCCGCCATTTTTTTAGTCGACCACCGCCGAGTGTGATTAGGGTTTTTGTTGTTCTGCAGTTTATTAGGACGATAAGAAATATTAGGGAGATCACATGATGCCACGTCATCCGTTTGCCACATCATCATATGAGTTGACGTGGTATTTAAAAAACTTGAAATACAACATGCCAAATTGCCAATAAACAATCCCACATCGTCATACGAATAACGAATGTAAGATTTGTATTTTAAATTTATTATATATATATATATATATATATTTTTTTTTTTTTTAATTTATCACATAGAGTAAATAATATTACATATTTCAAAAGATATTTTAAAATTTATATTTTATTTTAATTGATGGTACGTTTTATTTATTATTATTATTTATTTACTAAATCACTTATTCATTTACATCTCATAACCACCTAAGTTTATACATCAATTATGAAAAATTTAAGATAATTTTGAAATTATAATATTACATTTATAAAGTTTAATATACAAAATACTGTAACATGTCATTTCATAATTGAAAGAGTGAAAATATAAAATTAATTCATTAGTTTAAAATAAATAATATATCAATTACTAGGTAATGCCTTATCACTTTGTAGGTTTAAATTTGAATATAAACTTTATAAGATTAATACTATCCTTTTGTTGAGAAAATCTAGAATGGATAATACTACATTTATCATATGATCTCACAAACTTTCTCTCATAACTAATACTATTATATTGACACTAAACATGGGGCTCGCGTATTGCGTTGGTATGTTTATTCAATGTTTTTGAAATAGATTGTAAACAAATTTATTTTAACAAAATAAACTAATTAGATTAAGACATAATAATTGTTAAATTATACAAATTTTAAAGTAAATATAAATTGTATATATATACAAAGTTGTGTTATTATATAATTAATAATTGTACCTGTATAATTATTAATATCAATTATAGATAGATGTCATTAAATCATTCATCCAACTTGAGAAGATCACCTGAATAATATATGGTCTAATTAGATTTTTAAGATCATCCCCTTATACAATTGATATTATTTTTGCAGACATGTCTTTGAAATTCGATATCAGTAGGCATATCTTTGATATTCGATGTCAGTATTTTGTAGTGAATTGTGTATGATATTTAATATCACTTTAATATTATCAAGATCAATTATTTATACTTAAAATTTATACTGACCTTCCGTAATTTCTGTAACTTATATTTATTTTCAAGTTACGTTGCACACGCATATCTATTATATATATTTTTTTACATTATTATTGATTTTTTTTGTGTTTTAAATATATATTTTCTATATTGAATTGATAATTAAAAAATCAATAAATAAAATATTCACAAATTAAACTCAAAGTCCATATCATCATGATTCTTCTCAAATATGTTACCATTTGACATCTGCAATCAAAGTTTTAAACTTTGTCAAGAAAAGCAAAAATATTTGCAGTATAACCCACTACTCACTGGGTATTATTGATAAGCCTATAAATCAATCAGATGAAGAGAAACCTTGTTGAAAAATGTAAACTTTTAAGCAAAAGACTTGAGAACCAAAGGAAAAAACTGATTTTGATTGTTGAGAAGAGAAAATGAATTATTTTTATTATTATTATTTTAGAATTAAAAAAAAAAATGTTGAGAAGAGAACCCACATAGAAAGCAACAACAACTCTAACAGTATAATCTAAAGGCAACTTAATTAAAACATTGAAGAAGCCATGAAGATAAAGGTTCTGTAACACAAATCTATCTACTGCAATTAGAATTGACCACCATATATAGCAAAAAAAGTATTTGATGATAACATTTTAAAGAAAGATGATAATTGTAAAACTCACAAAACCCACAAATCAAACAACAAAGTCAATCCAAAAATCAACAAAAAAAGATAGAAAAATACAATTAAAACTATATATCAATATTTGTTTTCCATCGTCATCACTAAAATTGAATTTGTTTTATATGTATGATGATAAAATGAATGATTTGGAAACAAGTTTATAGTTATCCAAATTCATCATATAATATATCAAATTAGAGCCTTATCTTTCTAGTTTCCAAAGATTCAAACCGCTCATTAATTGGATTTTTATTGAGCAAGTAATGACTAATTTACTATTGACTGTTTAGTGGAGATTGAGAAACAAAGGAAACTGAAATGTATGTGATGATGAAAGGAATGGTTCAGAAATGGGGCTACAGTTATCCAAATTAAGTTTATAATATATCAAATTAAAGTCATGTCTGTCTAGTTGATAAAGATTCAAACCTCTTATCAATTAGATTTTTATTGAGCAAGTTATGGTCAATTTACTATTGACTATTCAGTAGAAACCAAAATGTGTGTGATGATAAAAGGAATGGTTTCGGTAGTGGGGCTACAGTTATCCAAATTAAGTGTATAATATATAAATTTTAAGCCCTATCTGTGTAGTTTCAAAAATTCAAACCTCTCATCAATTAAATTTTTATTGAGCAACTTATAGTCAATTTACTACTGACTGTTCAGTAGAAGCCGAAATGTGTGTGATAATAAAAGAAATAGTTTGTAAGTGGGGCTACAGCTATCCAAATTAAGCGTATAACATATCAAATTAAAGCCTTGTTTATCTAGTTTCTAAAGATTCAATCCTCTCATTAATTGGATTTTTATTGAGCAAGTTATGGTCAATTTACTACTAATTGTTCAATGGAAACTGAAATGTGTGTGATGATAAAATGAATGGTTTACTTAACCCAAATTTAAGGGATTATCATATTAGGAATGAGAACAAATATTTCAAATAACACCTATTAATTGGAAAACGGAATCAGCCAAAATTAATTCATTTAACTTATATACTCGCACATCAACTAGACATAAACAATTAATTATTCATACAACAAATTAAAATACATGAATGTTTTTACAGAAAACATATTCAACACAAATGAACTGTTTCTACTAATATAGATATGACAAATACTCACAGTTCGGTTGATAATAGTATCATCCTCGATTTGATCTTTGTAAAGTATATGAACATTTTCTTGAAAACAAACATAACAAAATTTAATCAATCTTTATGTTAAGATTGTTAAGGAACAATTATTCATTCATATAACAACTGTTACCTAAAAACAAAATCAACAAAAGTTAATTAATCTTTATATTAAAATTGTTAAGGAATACACTTATCGTTCGACAGGACCAACACAATTAATCTTTCAAATAGATTGACCAAAGAAAAACAATCATTCAATCAAATAATAACCATTAAAATAGTTAGGAGATATACTTACAGTTTCGTATTAAAATAGTTAGAAGATATACTTACAGTTCAGAAGAACAGATCAAAATAACAACTCATTTGACAATGTCAATCGGACATCCTGCCTTTATTCTATGCCAATTCATAAATTTTTGACCTGTAAACAACAACAAAAATATATATAAATAAAAAAATCATAGAAAACAGACATATTATTGACACAAACTAACATGACTTATAAACAATTAACAAAAGACCAGACGTATTGTTGACACCACAAACATATTACGATAATGCATAACTGAACATACGCCCATTTTATAACCCATTTTTTAGACATTTCGAATGCCAACACAATTAAATACAAATTTAATACGAAGAAAGGTTTGCAATATCAATACAATGCACCTATACAATTATTAATAGCAATCATAGGCAGATGTCATTAGACCATAATTATTAATAAAAATCCAATGCATATGTATACTTGTTATTAATGCACATCCAATGCGTCAAAATGATTATAGCTTTGGAATGTCAATGCAATACACATATATTATTAATATTATTATTAATTATTAATACAGATCCAATAATTTTTATTAATTATTAATTATAGATGAAATAATAAATACAAACCTAATGTGTCAATCCAATGTGTTCATCAAACCTAACGTGACAAGTAAGATTTGTGGTTTAATTTTGGTAGAGAACAACAAATAAAAGCAAAACCCATAATTTTTTTTTATCATCGAAATGTTTGAATCAACTTATATGTACTTTAATTAATTTATTTAACCCATAAAAAGCCCACTAACTAAAGTAGCTGAATAAAAAAAATGTTCAGAATTTACAGGATCACTCCATTTAATTGCCTAGTTATTCGTTTAACCTAGCAAGTAAGATTCGGAATTCCGGAGTTAGTACAAACTTTTTTTCTATTTAATAAGTAATTTTTTTAATAACAATAAATAAATAATAAAGTATAGGTTGAAATGACTTTCACTTAAATCAATTGGTCTCGGTGATGCTGCAATGTGTACGTGTGTGAAGTCTTGACATTGTTATTACCAACTAAAACCGACAAATCCTCCTCACTACATTTTGAACATTACATTACAGACAAATAAATACTTATGTCGCTTCCTTGATTGGCTCATTGTCAATAGAATAATATTATGTGTACTAATCATTTTGTACTAATCCAAATACTAACATTAAAAATTTAAAATTCTTGAAAAAAAAATTCAAATTTTCAATATTAATACTTAGATTAGTACAAATTAGTTAGTGCACATATCATTACTCTTGTCAATAACCCTCATATGAAATCAAAATTACACCTTTGAAAATAGTAAAAACGTGAATTTAATGTATAAACTAAACATTCTTCTTGTTGCTTGCTTCAATTATGGCCTTCATATTTCCTATCTGCCCCATTTCACATTTGTGTGTTGATCAACTTTTGCCGGTATATTAGTGCAATTTTATTAAATTTATATGCGTATGTTTCATTCAGGTGGGTTCTGGTACCTGTAACAACTGCTATAACTAGTAAAATGCTTGCATAATAATAATAGAAAATGGCCCCAAAACTTTTCTTTTTATTATATGTAATAAGTCTTTTATACACAAAGAGCATTATTTACAAAATGCAATTTAAAAAGACAAAAACAGGGGAAACAGTGTAGCTATTACTCATCGCTTGCCGACGCCCCTCTGACTGCATCATCACCTAGATCCTGCATCCACAAAGGAAAATGACGGGGT